AAATCAGTGATTGAACACCTTGTGGAGCACAATGTTATCCTGACTCGGGTGGGGTGGCCAGAAGTCCTAATCAACTCCATGGCAACTGGTTCAGCCAAATCCATTGTCTTCAAGCAGATGCTATCTCTTATGACTCTATAAAAAACCCAAAACTCATTGCCATCGAGTCAATTCTGACTCATAGCAACCCTTTAGGACAGGGTAGAGCTGCCCTCTGGGTTTCTGAGGCTGTAAATCTTCACGTTCACAGAAAGCCTCATCTTTCACCTGCAGAGCAGTTGGTGATTTCCAACTGTTGAACTTGTAGTTGGGAGTGCAATGCCTAACCTACTACATCACCAGCAGTCCTTTATGACTTCAAATTCACTGCCATTGAGTCAATTCTGACTCGTAGCCACCCTACAGAACAAGGTAGAACTGTTCCTATGGGTTTCAGACGCTTTAAGTCTTTACAGGAGCAGACTGCCACATCATTCTCTCTCGGAGCACCTGGCGGTGGGTTTGAACAATTGACCTTGTGGTTAGCAGCCCAACTATGCCTCCAGGGCTCCTTGAGAAGGGCATCTAAATGACTGCAGGACAATGTTAAAGAGGCAGCGTAATGGCCACAACACATTGCCTGCTAACTGCAAGGCCAGCAGTTCGAAACCACCAGTCTCTCCCAGGGAGAAAGATGGGGCTTTTTACTTCCCGGAAAGAGTGACAGTCTCAGAAACTCACAGGGGGCAGTTCTACCCTGTTCTGTAGCATCAGAGAGAGAGAGGGAGTGGCAACATCATGTGGGCTGCAGCTCCCCTCCCCAAGCTTGTCTTTTATTTAGACCACTCTTGTCTTTTATTTAGACCACGCTCACCTCCGGGAGCTGCCGCTGTGTGGGCCACACATGAAGTTCGACGAAGATCGCTGCGAGTGTGTCTGTAAATCTCCGTGTCCCCGAGACCTCATCCAGCACCCCGAAAACTGCAGCTGCTTTGAATGCAGAGAAAGTCTGGAGAGCTGCTGCCAGAAACAGAAGATCCACCACCCCGACACCTGCAGGGGAATGGCTTTTCCGCTTTCCCCGTGATTCTTCCCCTTCCACTTGGAATGTAAATGCAAATGCCATCACACCACAGGGGCTCCTTAGGAACCTCATGCTTTCTCAGTGGGCACATCATTTTGAGGCGGAGGTAGTAAAAGCAGGGATGTGGCCAATGGGAGATCAAGGAGAGGTTCTAGGGTGATGATTCATTGTGAAATAAAAACAACAACAACAACAACAACACCTTGGAGGCCCTGGGTGGTGTAAGTGGTCAGGGGAGGGTTGGATGTTCGAGGCCACCTTAGAGGTGTCTCGGAGGGAAGGACTGGTGATCTACCTCTGAAAAGTCAGCCATTGAAAACCCCACAAAAGTCCATTCTACTTGGATGCAGAGCCGCCCTGGGCCCAGCTAAGTTGGCAGCAATGGGCTGCGTTTGGGGACTATTGAATGCTAGCTCTTAAGCCGAATCGAAGCTGATGAGGGATTTAGACCATGCTCCATTCAAGGAAAGGGAAGGGAGGGAAGGAGCCCTAGTGGTGTCATGGTTACATGCTGGGTTGCTACACACAAGGTCAGCAGTTCAAAACCACCAGGTGCTTCTTGGGCGACAGACGTGGTTTTCTACTCATAAGGAGTTTATAGTTTATAGTTTCAAAAGCCCACAGTTCTACTGTGTCCTATAGGGTCCCCCATGAGGGGGAATCAATCTGATGACAGTGATGGGGGAGTTTGAGCCTTAGAGGGCAGATGTTTGAGATCAGCAAACTGACTGTTGGGGTCAATATAGAGCTTTACCTTGACCCCGTGGGTGCTGCTGGATTTGCGGCGTGGACAGACTGTGGACGGGCAGCACCCCTGGAGGTGACTAAGCGGGATGTAAGTGAGAGTGGATTCATTCCTGTGAGAGGCCCTTTTGGGATTTGCGACTTTAAAATAGGTACCGGGGAATTTTCCTTGGAACCTAAAGCAGAACAGTCGTTCCTTGGAATTGAAATCTCAACTCTGAATTCATGTTTCTTTCCCTTTGTCACAGCTGTGAGGACACATGCCCCCTTTCCACCAGAACCAGTGCACATGGAAGACTGATGTGAGCGCAGTACGGCCGCTTCCCAAGGGAGAAAAGAGCTGCCGTGGGCTTCAACGCAGGGGGGTGGGGTGGGGGGGTAGTGGTGGGGGGGACACACCAAAAAAAGCCAGACAAAAGCAACCCATGATCTCACTCTTGCTCTCCAGTTCTCTACCCCCCCGCCCCCCTCCATCATGGTAAGCAGCATGTTGCTTTGCCAATTTTGGGGTCCCTGTGTTTTGCATGAGTTAGGAAGAAAACAAAAAGCCACTCCCCGGCGTACCAGGGTGAATCCAGAGCAGCCTTCTGTTACCTACCTGTTAAGCCTCCCTGGCTCCTGACAGATGTTTTCTAACTGAAGATGCCTCCCAGCACCAAAGGAAAGGCGAAAATGGTCTGCTCATTCTTGGGTGGCAGGTGCTCTGTGATCCATCTATTCATTGGAGCTCATCAGGAAATCTGTATCGTTTTCGGCGTCCCTTTGCAAACCGCAAATCCTGTGAATTATTAGGCTTTTCTCATCTGCGTGATTGGATTTGTAAGAGCGGCGCCGACCCCCTTATCAACCCTTAGCTTGCAGCTTCTACATTTACTGAACTCTGGTTTGAGGTTTCATATTTAAGTGTATTTAAAGAAAATAAACCCCATTGTTGAGATCCCTAAACTCTTGTGTGTTATTTTAATATTTCCACTCTACATTTTAGGCTAAAGCAAACAAACATTTTGAATAAAAAGGGATTTAAAAGTCAGAGGTGGGGAGAGATATGAATTTGGGAAGCTGAACTTTCAGAAGTTTAAGGTTCTAAATTACAAAACAAAACAAAACCAAAAAAACCTCACTACCATGGAGTCAATTCTGATTCATAGCGACCCTATAGGACAGGGTCGGACTACTCCTGTGGGTTTTCCAGATTGTCACTCTTTACAAGAGTAGAAAGCCCTGTCTTTCTCCCCTGGGTTGGCCGGTGGTTTCGAACTGCTGACCTTGCAGATCGCAGCCCAACTCATAACCACTGTGCCACCATGGCTCCCCTAAGGTTCTAAATCAGATGAAGCAAATGCGGCCCAAGAGTACAGTCAGGAATGTGTGTCTAAAGCAGAGTGGTTGGAGATCCTCGCGAGAGACAGTGTTCAAACTCAGCTAGATGATATACAGATCTCAATGACTGGGGCTTTGCGACTCTAGAAAGGAGTTTCACTAATCCCTATTCCCAAATATTCATGAAATAAAGCTTTTCCAAAAGACCCTGCCATTTTATCATGGACACTATGTATTCTAAAGCATGGATTGGAAAGCCATGACTCACGGGCCCATTTTAGAGTGTTACTGAAACGTTGTTAGGCGCCATCAAGTGAGTTTGAACTCCTCAAGACCCTCTGTACAACAGAACACCACGTCCAACAGGCCCGGGCCTGCGCCAGCCTCACAATTGCTATGCTTGAATCTGTAGTTCAACTACGGTGAATCTCATTGACGGACCCTCTACTTTACCAAGCTTGGTGTCCTTTTCCAGGGACAGGTCTTTTCCTGATGACATGTCCAAAGTATGTGAGACGAAGTCTCATCAGCCTCACTTCTAAAAAGCATTCTGGTTGTACTTCTGGTAGTCTACAGTACTTCCAATATTCTTCGCCAGCAACATAATTCAAATATGTTACTGACACATAGCCACGCTCACTTGTTAGGACTGTGGTTCTTGGAGTAATCTTGCTTCCAATTGCTGCACGAACACCCTCTGCTCCTTGTAGTAGTTCCAGGCTTCCAGCCACTAACCCTCATTCCCTCTGAATTCCCAGTATTTTTCTCTTATGGCACACTGCCCACCTGCCCCCACAGCTTTGGTCATGGACAGCAACATGTACTCAATTGGGTTCATTGGGGTTAGTAAAGCTCAGGACAGATGTGCTCTACAAATTCAATTTGCAATGCTATGGAGTCGATTCTGACTTATAGCCACCCTTTAGGGCAGGATAGAACTGCCCCTGTGGGATTCTGAGACTGTAACTCTTTACAGGAGTAGAAAGCCAAGTCACATGCAATACTTAGTTGCCTTCTCACTCATAAAAAGGTCTTAAGGAACTTATTTACATAGGAATTTGTAAAGAACTGAATTTAAAGAGGTGATTCCATATTGATAGGTATGCTACAACAGATCATGATTGTCCTCAAATTATATGAACATAATGCATCTAATTATTTCATTCTCCTTCTACTGGTTACTGAGAAAGACTGATGCTACCTTAAGGTCAAATTGTTAGGCAGAAGGCTATAATCAGAATTAGGCCCAGATGTAGATCTTAATTCAACAGTGACCACTTTTGGGGACGTTTGAGAAAATAGCCAGACCCAGTGACCTTTGCTTAAGGACGATAAATGGAGTCTTATGAGATGGTAACCCCTGGGGAGGCAGAATCCAGATATATTTCCCTTGTTTGTGCTCGGTGGCTATGTTAAAAGCTGGCGTGAGGTGGATGCTCAGTGTTTGCAGACTCCTCAGCCTCCCACCCCTCTCCCCACAGGGACTCAACAACAGGATTCCCTCGTGACTATCTATTTATAAAAGTCAGCCTGTTCTGCAGCATTGCAAACACAGAAAGGCAGTTATGAAAAGTGGATCTCTCCTCTAGATTGTTTATCCCACCTATCATATCTAAATAGACATGCAGAGACAACAATAAGCACAAAAACAAGAAATGGGCAAAACAACAACAAAAAGAAAAGCCTATAAATAGTTCCAGGTCTGTTTGTTGACCGTTAGGAGTGTTTGTGGTCAAGTCTGATGGGGTACCATGCCCTGGCCCCACAGTATATTTTTGGTATTCCCCTCGGACTTCATTGCTTTGCTCCCCTTGCAGCTCTGTTGCACGCCCTGAGTGTTTCATCCCGGTGTGATGGAGTCAGATCCGGCAGCTGAGCAATTCACCATTGTTCTACTGGGCTCTTTTGGATGGTAAAAATAGGAAATACTTATTTGATCCTGAAAAAAATTCATAACTCTTTGGGAAATATGACAACTCTGCCGGATTTGAGTGTGTATTGTGATCAGCACCTTGGCAGTGGCAAACCAGCGTTCATGAGGCTTCATTTACTTCATGCCTTCCAGGATTTCTAGCCACACTCCACACGCCTGAGTGTCTTCGAATCTACTGCAGAAAATGAGAAGCTAACCCATTGCTTTGGGCAATGCTGTCTCAACGAGTAATATTGCTGTGCTGAAAACAATTGCACTGACTAGGCTTGAAGAAGTGATCTCACTGGATCTTTGCCACCTTCGCTGTCTGAAGCTTCGCTGTTAATGGGGTGCGGCACAGGGAGGAGTGGGGGCATCACCATGGAATTGATTCCAACTCACAGTGATCCCAGGTGTTGCAGAGGACAACTGCATTTCTTTTCTTTTTTTAAATCATTTTATTGGGGGCTCGTACAACTCTGATCACAATCCATCCATGCATCCATTGTGTCAAGCACATTTGTACATTTCTTGCAATCATTGTTTTCAAAACACTTTCTTTCTACTTGAGCCCTTGATATCAGCTTCTCATTTTCCCCTCCTTCCCCCACCCTCTCTCCTCACGAACCCTTGATAATTTATAAATTATTATTATTTTTTCATGTCTTACACTGTCCGATGTCTTCCCTTAACCCACTTTTCTCGTGTCCGTCCCCCAGGGAGGGGTTTTCAAGGCTGTTACCTTTGGGTCAAAGATCACCAGGGCTTCTCTTATAAGGCAACTTTGTGTAAGTTCAGATAGCCAACTTTTCTGTTAGTACCTTCTGGTTAGTTCTTCTTGATTAGTAGTTGAGTGCTTAATCGTCTGCATCACCCAGGGTCTCTATTAGACCAAATCTGTATTTCTACTTGAGCTTTACTCATTAAAGTTAGCTCATTGAACAAAACCCACATGAAAGGAACACACAAGTCTGTGTGCCGAAGGGATCAGTTATCAAGCATCAAAGAACAAAAAATCATATCATTGAGTGCTCACCTCCCTGAAACAATCGCTGAAGACAAATGGGTGCATAAGCAAATGTGGCAAAGAAAGCTGATGGTGC